TCATTCCTCTGCTTTCGTGAGCTCATGTTGCCGTTTGACTTGATGTTACATGTTCTTTTGTTTACTCCTCGTTATAGCCTCTCCTCCATGATCCTGGCTATTCGGCTATTCGGCTATCCGTAGCCATCATGGTTCTGACTATTTGGCTACCCATAGCCATCAAGATCCCGGCTATTAGGCTATATCCATGGCCATCCCTCTTGGAACTGGAGAACCAGCCATCAACTATGTGTCCCGATATCCCTCCTCCTAATATCTCCTATAGCATTCTATTCTTCTGGACCTCCGCTGATCCCGGCTATTAACTGGAAAACCAGCCATCGACTATGTGTCCCGCCATCCCTCCTCCTCCTAATAGCTCCTATAGCATTCTGTTCCTCTGGACCTCCGCTGAATAGCCATTTTGCCCAAATAGCTCGTTTGCCAAATAGTCGGTTTGCCAAATAGCAGGTTTGCCAAATAGCCGACGACTATGATGCTGGATGCTGCATGCCTCACTGTTACTCCTGTGATGAAAAGCACCACTCTGCACCATAGATGCTTCACTCATTGCTGAGCGGGGCCGCAGCCATAGCCCTGCTGCGTCACCCGAGATAGCCCCGCATAGCCTGGCATTTTCCATACAATCACCCTCTCTCAGCCCCCTGCTGTTCTCTAAATACCACACTATCTTATTCGTCATTCCCCCCTCTTTAACCCCATAGCCCCACTGTCTTTTCTATTCCCTCCACAATCTGGCTTATTCGCCCCTACCGACATATCATCCTAATGCCATTATTGAAAGAAATAAATTAAAAATTAAAAAATCCTCACGCCATTGTTCTTTTTCGTTTTCCTCTTTGTCCTCTGCCCCCATTCAACGTGACCAGGGAGAGCCCACTTTCCCTGTTGTGGAATTATTGCCTGTCGTTGTGTGCCGCCATAGAGCAGCGTTCCTTCTGGCGAGCACTGCAGCCTCATGCCACAGCCATTCTGCTTGGTGCTGCAGCGTGAGGTAGCCTGACCGCCGAATATATCGATAAGTGATCGATGGCATGCAAACCCACGATCCTCCAGGAGCTTTCCGCGGGCCCGCAAGACGCACACAGTCCCACACATCGTTCCCATTATGGATCATTAGCACCTGCCTGGGCCCAGGTACCCTTCCTGTTCTGGCTCCATTTCCAAGTACAAGACCAGGTATAGCCCTTAAACCCAGAGAAGGACCAGATACGTTCGCAGCTCCCGATGCAGGGATGGCCTTAGGGCATCCTAGATGAACACGGTCACGAGCAAGTCCCGAGGATTCCAGTCCCAGTAGAGGCCCACACCCCTGTCCTGCCTCAGCATATCCACCATCTCCTGCTCCACCCTGGACCCCGCTCCTGGCCCTGGGCCCAACCCCAGCCCCAGCCCCAGCCCCCACCCACTGGTGAATGCCCCCCTCTTTCAAGACCATGATTCCTGCCAACAGGTCCTGACATAGGTCCATTAGTGGCCCCTTGAACAGGGCCAGACGCAGGCCCTGATGCAAATAAAGATCCTTCTTTTGACCCTTGAACCAAAAGATTATGTCCGAGTCTTGGTCCGGAGCCTGGCCCTTGCCCATAAATATGGCAGAGGCGGAACCTAACTTCAGACCCAGGTTTAGGCACTTGCTCTTGACCTGCGAGAGTGTGCCCACCGGTGTGTTCCTGTGAGGAAACTTGTGCAACTGCTGATCCCGGTTTGGGCTGATGTCGTGGAGGGATACGTCCGAGTCCCCACCTGTTCTCAAGCGAGGCCACCGATCCAACATATCCAGATCCCAGTTCAAGGCCATGTTTGGCAAGAAGCCCATGTCCAGATACAGGTGCAGGCATTTGTCCCAATCCAAGCGTAGGCCCCTGCCCAGACATGTGCACAGGCAGAGTTGCTGATCCCCGCCCCGATACAGGTGCGGGAATGGTATGCTGGCCCAAAACGCGTCCACATGCAGGTTGCTGTCCACTCCTGGGTCCGGAAACTGGTGGTTCAGGTCTCTGTACCAAGCCATTTCCAGAAAAGAGTCCAGATGCGGGTTGCTGTCCACTCCTAGGTTCAGAAACTGGTGCTATTGTTGGCTTCGACTCTATTCCCAAGCTGCCAAATGTTGACATCAACTGCCTCCTAACAATCCTCTTGTCTGTCAGTTTTCCTAAGGTGGAGGCTATCCCGATCAGGCCTTCAAAAGATTCTCGGACATGTTGGTCCCGCCTCTGACTAGACCCACCTTGATCAATGGCTGACGGCGCAGGCCCATTCCCACGGACCAATTTCTCCGCTTTCTCATCCCCCTTCTGCTTCAGCGCAGCAAGCTTCACCGACACCCCTTCCTGGCCTTGCAGAGGTCTTATTCCCAAACCCCCGTCCACCCGTCTGTGCTTTTCTGGAGGCCGAAAACCAAGACAACCACCGAACGGACTTGATGAACCTCTTGAAGATGATGCGGTGTCTGAGCACACTGCTGGTGCCATAGACGACCGAGACTTGGAGGCGGCAACATCTCTACCTCCGTTCTCCTTCCTCTCGCTCCCCGGAGTCCCATCTGAAGGGTTTGGTATATCTTTCACCTCATTTCCATTGTGGTCAACAGATTTGACTTCGGTGTTGACGGCAGCTCTATCTGATGACAGGACACCATCTTCATCCACTTTTCGATGTGGACAGATCTCATAAATGACCACAATCTCTGGCATCGCACCCCTTCGTGGTATCTCAACATATCCTCTCCACGGCTTTCGTTTCACCTCCTGATGATCTCCGTCATCCCCCAGAGTTCGTTCCTTGCTTGCAAATACCAGACCGTGTTCAGCAACTGGATCCGACATGGGAACACTCTGAGAGGCTTCAGTAGAAATTCCTCCATCCATAGCTTGCTCCATTAAAGACTTCTCCATTCCATTTCCTTCCTTGCTAGCAAATACCAGACCGTGTTCAGCAACCGGATCCGACATGGGAACACTCCGGGAGGCTTCAGTAGAAATTCCTCCATCCATAGCTTGCTCCATTAAAGACTTCTCCATTCCATCCACACACCTTCTGCTGATGAGCTCTTCAAGCAGAAGACATCCATTCACCGAGTCCCGAGTGACATCGGGATGCTCTCCCTCCGGAGTCTCGACCGCCTGCTCCTGATGAGAAAGCTGCCCATCATTCTCAAGTCGCTTGCAGCTTCCAGGCCCATCCGCATCATATGTAAGCTGCTTGCAACTTCCATCCCCATCCACTACTGCTACTTCTCCTCCTCCTCCTCCTCCTCCTCCTCCTCCGCCTCCGCCACCGCTGCCGCTGCCACCGCCACCTCCTCCTACTACTACTCCTTCACCCGAACCAGGTCCAAAACTGGATTCCTTCTCATTGATGTGGGCCTTCAAATCTGCCCATGCATCTGGAGAAGCAACAGCCTCATCTTTCCTCTTAGCGGAAATCACTGCATCCATGTCCCTCTCATCTTCCCTCTGATCTTTCCCTCCACAAGTTAGAGATTGCAAGTCCGCATTAAGTTCTTCCCCTACACCAGCACAGACACCAACTGGACCTAAAGGTATGACTGCTGAACCAGGTGTGGACTCCAACTCCGTCTCATCTTTCCTGTTTGTGGAAATCACTTGGTCCATGTCCCTCTCTGACCACTCATCTTTCCCTCTGTAAGTTAAAGGTTCCAGATCCTCGTTAAGACCTTCCACTAAACCAGCGCGGACACTAACTTCAGCTCCAGGTATGACCGCTGAACCAGGTGCGGAATCTGATTCCTTCTCGTCTTCACTTGAACCACCCTCAACCACAGCTCCATCCTTCTGGAGTGGATTTCGATTGTCATAGCCGCTGCCACCTCCTCCCATAACTGCACATGCAACTGCCGCCGTGGCTGAGACGACAGCTAACACACTTGATATGGCAACTTCCGGGATTCGTTGCTGCTGTTCATTTCCATCTGATGCTCTCACAAGCTCATCGACAGCTTCCGAGTTGTCCTCCTGTGGATGATTACCCCCTCCCTCCTCCCCCTCCCCTTGCGCCTTCCCCAGATCACCCTTCATCTTCACACGCATGCAACCGTCCTCCTCCTGCAGACACCCCACCACTCTCTCTCCCACAATTTGTGCCACCTCCTCCAATCTCTGCGTCACATCCTTCATATCTGTTTGCTGGATGAACAGCTCGGCATCCTCAACACCCCGGGTCTTTCTCTCCCAATTCTCTCCCTCCATGTCCTCTCTCTTGAACTGTAGGTCATCCTTAATGCTGTCCCGTGTGACTTCCTCCATCCCTTGCCAGCATCCCACCCTCTCCTTACGAACTCCATGTTTCCTCTGGACATCATTGGCCTCTCTCTCACAACTCCCTCTCCCCCTGTCCTCTTGCTTCAGCTGTAGGTAATCCTTAGCGCTGCCTCCTCCAACTCCCTCCATTTCCTGCCAGCACCCCATCCTCTCCCCATCGACTGCATGTTCCCTCTCCACATTATCCTCGACCACTCTCTCTCCTCCGACTTGCTCACTTTCTTCTCTCTCTTCCACAAGGAGTGCAACCTGCATGTCCGTTCTCTCCCTTACCCCTCCGTCCTGAAGGAGATAAGCCTTCACGCACTCCCTCTCAACCGTTACTCTCTCCACCTCCAGTCTATGTAGCTTACTTCTCTGGTGCTTGACTTGATCTTCCTCTGTCTCCTCTTTCATTCTTTGCAGCACAATTTGATGTTCCTTCACGATTTGATGTTCCTTTTCCTCCTCTCGCAGGTGCTCCACTACTCTCTGCCCTTCAGTTCCCAGTCCTTTCTCCATCGAGAGCTCTCCACTCTCTCCTCGCACATCAACTTCAAGTTGACGCTGCTCGTCAACGTGGCAGCCCTCCCCTCCCCACGCTCCCTCCCTCACATCTTCTTCTCTCTCCCTGCACCTTTGCCTCCCTCCCTCCCTTCCCTCTCTCCTTGCACCCATTTTGTCTTGTTGCTCCTCCTCCATCTGCTGCTTCATTCTATTTATGGAAAGTTGCCACTTCTGTTCTAGAGGGATCCCATGCTCATCTACCCTTATTTTACTAACACCACTACCCCTCTTCAATCCCAACCCCATCCTCTCTACGCTCTGGCCGATTTTCTCCACTCCCTTCAGCATAGCCATCATACTGCTCGTCACCATCCCTCCCGCAGGTGCAGGCATCTTTATCATGATCTGCATGCCCCCTCCTCCCTCTCTCTCACCATCCTCCATCACCCCTTTCCTCCTACCCCCCCCAGTTTGGATCCATACCTTGCAACTCACATTACCAAATCCCACAATCCGTTCCTTCATGTCTACAACAGGCCCTGCACCAGTCCCTCGTCCAGTTCCTGGCCCAGTCTCTCCAGCATTTTCTGGTCCACTCCCTGGTCCACTCCCTGGCCCAGTCTCTCCAGCAGTTTCTGGTCCACTCCCTGGTCCACTCCCTGGTCCACTCCCTGGTCCACTTCCTGGTCCACTTCCTGGTCCAATCCTTGGGACCGCTGGCAGACAATTTCCGGGGCCGATACCGGTGCCAGGTAGGCTATGTGCCTGCCAACGGCCACTTGTTTCTCCCATCTTGCTACAGCTCTCTTGGTGTCCACCACTTTCACTGCCGACTTTTTTTGAAGATGTCGAGGACATGGCCATGTCTATGGGGGTGGTCATGCTCTCCTTGTCCATCCCCTCCCTTCCATTTCTTCCCGTCCCTTCATTTTGTAATGCCCATACTCTTCCTCCCGTCCCCTCCCTCCCATCACTAAAGCTCTCAGAGGCTGTTGCAGCTTCTGCTGCAAGCAAGATCATGGGGGGGTCCTCCTCTTCCCCCTCCAAGTTAACCCTTCCTTTCCCGCTGGATATTCTAAGCTCAAGGCCATTCTCCTCTGACCTCTCTTGCGGAAAGACATGATCCTCAGGCACCTCTACTACTTCGGCTTGTGGACGACTTTTCCAACCAAGCACCAAGGGACGTCGAGAAGTTCTGATGGGTCCAGCACTAGTTCCCTCCTCGCCTTCCTCTTCCCAGATAGTCCCACAGCAATCCTTGCTTGTGAAAGTCGTACTCTCCTCTGTCTCTCTTCCTTGTTCGACCATATCGTTGCCCATCTCTTCCTCCTCGTTACTCCACAGCACGACGCCATAGTCAGACGTCAAGCGCTCACAGGCCTTCGGAGAAGTGACGGCATGAACTGCAGTCTTGCTGCGGAACTTCACTAGCGCTGTGCTTTCCTCTTCCCACATTGTCCCATGGCGGTCCTTGATCCTGAACCTCCCACTCTCAGCTGTCTTTCTTCCTTGGTCCACATCGTCACTCCTTACCTCTTCCTCCTCATTATCTCGTGCCAGCATTGGCTGAACATGCCATGATGGTCCTGCATCTCCACCTCCTCCTCCTCCTCCTCTTCCTCCTCCTACTCTTCCTCCTTCTCCTACTCTTCCTCCTTCTCTTCGTCGATCTCCTCCTCCTCTTCCTACTCTCCCTCCTCTTCTTCCTCCTTCTCCTCCCTCTCCTCTCTGCCAGCTCCACACCTTACTACCCATCCCAGCACCAAATGTCATCACAATGTCCGTATCGTTGTCGTCAACACGTGCCACTCCGGAGTCCTGGTACCCTGCAGATACAGAAAGTCTTCTTCGGAAGGCTTGCAAGGTACTCTGTGGCTGAGGGCCATGGAATGCCATCCGACCTCCCTCCTCCAACTCATCACCATCGTCATTGGCATGGTCTTCTTTCTTCTGCACACCATCGTTTACCTCCACATCATCTTTTGGCTTCACCTCAGACGAAGCTGAGTCAAGTCCCTCGTTAAGAACGGAACCTGAATCCACGCTGCTCTGCTTCTGGTACCTTAGGCTAGGGCTCTGAGGTCTCAGATGGCCTCTGCACTCGCCGCAGTGGAGAGCTGCAGCGGCAATCTCTTCCTCACCATCCATCTTCTTCACATTCAACGGATGCGATCTCTTCTTCAGCATCAGGTCCACGCTTCCTGTCGTACGATCGACCATCAAAAGCCGCTCTGGAGAACGACTGATGTTACACTTCTCGACGTTCTCGTTCAGCTCATTTCCATGGACATGGTCTCCATCCACAGGCGAGATATCTGACACCTGCCAGCTGCTTCCCGAAGCAGTCTGCAGCGTGCTTTGCTTCGCCATCCACTGGACGATTGACTTCATAGTCACAGCGGCAGCGGCAATTTGGGTCCCGGAACCCCACTTACTCGTCAGCATTCTCCCGTCCTCAAGAGAACCCCTGGAAAAAACTCCAGGTGCCTTCAAGTTGGACCCAGCTGCAGGTGCCTTGGGACCACCACCTGCAGTTCCCTTGGAACTAACTGCTTGTGCCTTGGGACCACCACCTGCAGCTGCATTTGGACCACCAACTGCAGCTGCCTTGGGACCACCAACTGCAGTTGCCTTGGAACTAGCTGCTGGTGCCTTGGGACCACCACCTGCAGGTGCCTTGGGACCACCACCTGCAGTTGCTTTTGAACTAACTGCTGGTGCCTTGGGACCACCAACTGCAGTTGCGCTGGAACTAACAGCAGGTCCCAACGTGATGGTACCAACTTCAGGTGCCTTGAAACAAGAGCCAGGTATCGCGGAACCAACTGCGGACACCTTGGAATGATGCAACGATGGCTGACGAGGAGAAGGTTGGTCCTGCCCGCGCCCATGATGTGCACCATGGTTCGCACCTGGAACGTCGTTCGGACCAGGAACAAGAAATAGAACAGCAGCACCATCTGCATCGAACCCGAGAGAAGGACAGGCGAGGGGACGAACTTGAGGCTCACCTTTCTCCCAAGCGATGGAGAGAGACACATAAGCGCCTTCCACGTGGCGCACAGTGGCAGTCACCGGCTGCAGCGAGTCGCGTAGCGACATCCATAACCCCGACGCCGACGGGTCTGGGTTACACTCAGCATGGCCAGGTCGCATTCGAGCTCTCGGCATGACCTCCCCACAGAAGGGCAGAACTTCAACTTCATCCCGAGCGCTGGCTATGGTATGGCCTTCTTTACAAACACCACCACCTCCTCCTCCTCCTCCTCCTCTGCCTCTTGCTTCTTTCCAACCACAAACACTTCCTCCTCCTCCTCCTCCTCCTCCTAACTTGTCCTCAGGGAGACCAAGCAATAAGATACTTTGACCAACAAACACTGGGTCAATTGCTGCGACCGCGGGATTCAGATGTCCCGTGCCTAGAAGTCCCAAGGGCGCATTCAAATGTCCCATGCCCAGAGGTCCCAGGGGTCCCTGAGCGGGATACGGACCGCAGGTTACCTCCTCGCACATAACGATGCAGACACCCAGTTCATGACAACTAAGAAACAGTTTGTGGGGTAGCAACCTCCTCCTCTCGACTAGTACTTGAGAGTCAAAGGAGTCCAAGTCGCCGGGACCACCACCCTCCCTCCCTAGGAACGCAGGCAGAGAGGCACATACGCTCTCCTTCCTCGCCACCCTCTCCAACCACGTGGGTTGGACTCCCTCTCCTCCTACACTACGTCCCCTCCCAATGCCATAATTCACCTTTTCCTTAACCTTATCCACATCTTCGCTCACTATCTTACCCATTCCGACCCCACTTTTCGCATCTGCAACACCAAAACGACGTTTGTCCTGAAGCCCGGCAACACAAGAAGGACGAGGAGACTGGATCCCGATCGCGGCTTCTAGGGCTCGATCAGAGGTACTGCGACCGATAACAGAGGTACTAGTCAAACCGGTCGCAGGGGTACTACTACCAGCAGCAGAGGTTCTGCTACCGGTCGTAGCAGTACCTCTGCTGCCGCTGGATCCCGAGGAGGATGCACCGACCAGAATATGCAGTTGGCTGGCAAGCTCGATGGTAGGGACCACGTTCGCACTTGTCATGACGAGGCACGGGCTGACGAGCACGCCCATGCCAAGCACATATGGCCGTCCAACTGCGTTGACGTCATCAGAAACCTCACTATTAACTGGCCGTCGACGTACGTTGATGACGACGTCATCATATATATCCTTCTCCGGATACTCTAGCCGTCCAAATGCTACATCACCAGATGAAAGCTTATCCGGATCCCGACTCCCGGTTGGAACACCCGGCATGCTGCTGACAAGCCCATGTGGGGACCGTCCAAGTACGTTCTTGTTAACGTCATCGTATGTATCCTTATCCCTATCCTTCTCGTCAGACAACAGCTCGTCCGGATCTCGACGGCCGGTCGGCACACCCGGCGTGCTGGCAAGCACACGTGGCCGACCAATTACGTTGACGTCATTAGATCGCTCAGTGTCTGGCCGTGCAAATACGTCACCCGGGACCTTATCCGGATCCCGACCGCCGGTTCGAGAGTATCGGATGAAGAAGACGACAGGATGTCTGCTGTCCATGATCAGCTCCTCAGGATCGAGGCCGTCGAAATCGGAATTGCGTTTCTGCCCTCCCCCAGACGTGCAACATGTAAACAAACCCATGCTTCCTTTTTTTTTTTCCCCCCTTCTCTTTTATTATTAATAAAAAATATGGCCTTCCGTGACAAAAAAAAACACCCTAGACCTCCCCACTAAGAGAGAACTGGGGTACGTTAATCACTCGCACCACAAAAAAAAAAAAAAGGGAAAATAAAAGAGAGGAGGTAAGTTCGAAAACTTGAAAAGGGGTATGGTTGAAAAAAAACAAAAAGAAAAACAAAGGGGTATGGTTATACACAAGGTCCTTGCAAGGCTTCCAAATGACAGACAATCCGGAATTAAAAAATAAATAAAAAGTGATAAAGACAGGCAATCTATGGCCAACGCTACCAATTACTACTTAACAAAAAAAAAAAAAAAAAAAAAAAAAAAAGGGGACAGAATAAAAAGAGACAAAGGAGCACACCATGGAGCTCACTGCTTTCGATCCCGCGCTCATCGGTCCAGCTGGCAAGCGATTGCGATCCCGACCCTGCTCTTACTACCCCAGCTGGCAAGCCAATAGCAAAGCGCGCCAATGGCTGAGAACTCCACTACTTGTCAGGTAGAATTAAACGTAACATAGCTAAGGAAAAAACAAAAAACCGAAAAAAAAAGAAAAAAAAAGCCCTCGCAACTTCGCAAGGCTGCAAGGGACGTCGTTACCGGGAAAAGCGGGGGGGGGGAAGGGGACGACAACAAAAAAACAAGTAGAAAGGACGCCGTAATCAAAAGGCTTCCCCAAAAACAAATAAATTAATCAAAAGGGCTTATTTGAGAGGACCTCAGTGCTACAAGCTTTAGCAACTAAAAAAATTATCAAAATAGACCTGGCCGCTCCTATTACCCTTATCTAGAGATATTTGGATTTGCCCGCCTATTCAAAAAAAAAAAAAAAACTCACGTGCTCTATAGACAAGGGGTAGAAAATGTAGACTCAGTTACTCCACTCGAACGAAGCGATGCTAGCCCATCGCTATGGCAACTATAAATAGACGCAGCGATTCTGAGCGGGAAAAAAAACGGAAAAAAACAAATAAATAAATAAATAAACAATCGGGTAGTCGTGGCGACTCAAATAATGAAATGAATTAATAATATATACATATATTATTATAAATATTTGGAGACTAAAAACAGACCCAATACAGTAATGGCCCTGACAGCCGCATGTCAGAGAGTCGCAGGCGGATAACTAGAGTAGTTACCAAAACGGATAAAAAGCGGAAGCACAGATCCACCTTCTCGGAGAGCTAAAAGTAGAAACGCAGACCCAAACGGATAAAAAGCGCAGGAAGAGATCGTCTGTTCTTGTGCACCGTACAAGCCACGTTCTCCGAGATCTAAAAATAGAACACATATAATTCCCAAAAGAAAAAGACAATGCAAAAATAATTCCGATAAAGAGGCAGGACATCCAACCCATACAAGACACGAATTTAATTCCAACACAAATAATTCCAAGACACAAACCTAACCAATAGGAAAAATATATATATATATATATATAATATAACCAATAGCCAACAAGGCCAATCCCGAAGAGACTCAGGAGAACACACAGCGAGAGAGAGAGAGAGAGCGAGAGAGAGACAGAGTAGCCAACAAGGCCAAGCCGGAAGAGACTCAGGAGAACACAGTGAGAGAGAGAGAGAGAGAGAGAGAGAGAGAGAGAGAGAGAGAGAGAGAGAGAGAGAGAGAGAGAGAGAGAGAGAGTTCAAACAACAAGGCCAAGCCGGAGGAAACTCGTATCCACGACCTCCCTTGTGGGAAGCCTCCGGTGCACCATCTCTCTACCACATTGTCCTCCTCTCGCCCTCCCTCACTGCCCACCGTCACAGTTAACCAGGCGACAAGATGTCACTCTTCGTAAACCTACCCTCTCTCCTCCCTTCCACGTCACCGACTCCCATACCCACCCACCCACCCACCCACCCACCAACTTCTCCAGGAGAAAATTACACGCCCGCCCGCCGCGGCTCACTTGCCACTAAAAGACGACCGACCTCTTCTTGTACTCTTCTCCTATCCCGAGATTGCACCGGCTACGCTGTCTTCCCAGGAGCCAGTCCCAATCCAATCCCGACGGACAGCGGACCTCGCACACGTGGGACCAGGATCGAAAAAACGTACTACCTTTTTTTTTTTTTTTTTTTTTTTTTTTTTTTTTTTTTTTGGCGACAGCCTTGAGATATCAACATAGAAAAAAATTAATTAAAAAAATCAACATAGAACTGACCAGCCCGTGGTAATTCAGAATTTGACTCACTAGTTGCAGCTGGATTCGAGCTCACGTCTGCCTTTCTCTTTTTTTTTTCTTTTTTTCTTTTTTTTTTTCTGCCTTTCAACAGCTCATAGGTGGTACCTACTGAGCTGGGCCCATTGGTACTAGTCTTGTTTTTTTGGCCCTTCTCCCCCTCGTCGGTTGTGTGACGAATCGACGTCGTTTCTGAGCCGGGGGCCAACCAAGTCCCGCGAGCAGCAGCGTTGAGTTTCCTCAACGCCCCGAATCTGGTCGTGCTTGTGGAGATATGCAGAAATGGCGTTGACTTTCCTCAACCGCACATATCCACAAGCACGTCCAGATTCAGGCGTTAAGGGAACTCAACGCTGCTGCTGCTAGTGGGACATCGCTACGGGGGCGAGTATACACTGTCCTTCAACCAAACCGTCGTTCGACGCCTGGGCGCAAAGTCAATGGGCGACACAAAAGTCAATGGGCGACACAAAGTCAATGGGCGACACAAAGTCAACGGGCGCCTTTTCCAGGCGAAGAAAAAATGCGCGACGGGTTTGAGATATCGTCAGCGCCCTTTCAAAAAAAAAAAAAAAAAAAAATCAGCCCTTTCATCTGCAGCTCCATCATCACGTTTTTTTTCCTTCTTTTTCTTTTTCTCCTTCATCACTTTGCTTCTCCGTTTCCTCCTCTCTTCCTCTGTTCACCGTTTATCTACACTGCCAGGGAACACCCAACCCCCACGTACCTCTCCCTTTGCCTCTCCTGTATCGCCAGCCAAAAAGTGTCCGCGCCGTTTCTTCTGTTTTTTTTTGTGCCCAGGGGGGATCTGATTCAGCCAAAGGAAGCCTCAAATTGCTTTTGGTCTAAACATCGCTGACAGGGGCGTGCCACAAAGTTTGCCGGAGAGAAAGGCATTTGGGAAATACCCAATCTATAAGGGACATAAAATGAAATACGGCGTCTTTCACGGGCATGAAAATTTGCCCTATTTATACTTTTGTTATTTATTTAGAGGTATTCTTTTATCTTCATTTTAAGATTTTTATATTTGTATTTCACTTCTTTGAAGCCGGTGAAACTTGGCAGGATGTGGAAAATTTGGCTCCTCATGCACGAGGAGGAGGTTTAAAATCTGACAGTCCCAGCTGGTGCACCGCCTTTTTTGCCTTTTTCTGGTGCAACAGCCGTGAAGGGAGAAGGGCAGACGTCACAGCTGTTGCTGCCATCAGCGAGGGCGAAAGTATTTTTGGACACAAGGGAGTTTCGAGGACGTACCTAGCCAAACTTACAATTGAATTCTCCAACAAAATTTCAGAATGCTCTCATGTGAGTTTGCTTGGAATATACTAACCACTCGTTCTGGGCCCCAAGAGGAGTAGGAGGAGGAGGACGAGGAGGACGAGGAGGTGGAGAGATAGAAGAAAAAAAGAAGAACAAGAAGGACAAGAAGAAGAAGAAGAAGAAGAAGAAGAAGAAGAAGAGTTTGTCTTCCTTGCAAATATCAATGGTTCAGGAATCATAGTCGGGAAAATCAGATTCAAAAGTTCTCCTCTGCGCATAAACTTCGGGTGTCAGGGTTAGAATTTAAGGTCGAGGTTCACAGTTTAGGCTCTAGGGTTTAGGGGTCAAGGTTTCGGGACCAAGGCTTAGGGGATGGGGTACAGACCTTAGGTTGTAGGGTTTACAGTATTGGGATCAAGGTTTAGGGAATGGGCTTTAAGATTATGGGTTCAGGGTTTAAGGGTTTGGAGTTAGGGTTTCAGGGTTGAGGGTTGGGGGTTCAGGGTTTTGGAATTGAGGTTTAGTGGATGGTTTCAGGGTTTGCGGTCTAAGTCTATATGTTTAGGGTTTTGCGGATTAAGGCTTAGGATTGGGGGTTTAGGGTTAGGGTTTTAGGGTTCAAGGATTAAGGCTTAGTGTTTTGGGCTTTGGGTTTACGGTTCACGGTTTAGGGTCTATGTTGCTCTGGAGCTTACGAGATTGTAGGTGTCAGTACAACAATAGTAGACCATGTTAATGCTTGTCCTTCTTCCTCAAAGTTGTTTTCCTTCTTCTGAAAGAAAAACCTGCAAGATTTAGCCCATAGATATGGAAGACGGAATGTCATCATAGTGTTAAAAAAACAGAAAATCATACCAGGGAAGAAGCATACAAATCACGTTAGGCTTTTCTTTCCCCCAAAATACAAACAAAAGAAATAAGAAAAAGGTGCACATGCTTTGTAGTACACAACGTGGAGAATCTGGAGATATTAGAGAGATCATAGGAACCCGGATGAAAAAGGGAGGAAATAAATGGCAAAGGAAGAAGCAAGTAGGGGTGGAGAGGACAGGACATAAGGATGGCAAAGGAAGAGACGATGAAGGGCAAACACGGACTGGGGGATAATGTGACAAGAAGTTCACAAGAAATGAGAAGAACTGTGGAAGCGAAGAAAGAGAAGGTCGTGGACAAGAAAAAAAAAGTACGGAAGAGCAGAAAGAAAAGGCGAGGGAGGAAAGAAAGAAGAGGAAAAGACAGGAGTGCATATGTCAAGGCAAGACAGGAAAGGGAAAAGAGGAGAAGAGAAAAGAAGAGTCGATGGCAGGAGAAAAGAGAAGCGAAGAGAGAGGAAAGGAAAGGAGAGAAGACGAGACCAAAAGTGAGAAAAGAACAAAGAGAAAGTGAACAAAATAAAAGAAGAAAAGAAGAGAGGGAAGTGATGAGAAGAGGAGAAGAAAAAGGAAGACAAGAGAAGAGAGGAGAGGAAAGAAAGGAGGAGAAGGAGGACATGAAAGGACAAAAAAAAATAGGAGAGGAGAAGAGAAAAGATGAGAAAATAAGAGAAGGGAAGCGAAGGGAAGGGAAGAGAAGAGAAGACAA